AAGTTTCTTTAATGCCCATAATCCTTGCTGAAGTAATTGTTGCTGCCAGAAACAGACATGTTTCACTGTTGAAAAAAGTTTAAGTTCTTAAACCTTTTAAATGACATATTCTATAGGTCTTTGAAGTGTTCAAGATGATCTATCAAACTGAACTATAATTCTGTATATCTAGAAAACCTAACATGACAATAAGTTTGACTATAATAAATGACTATCTATTAATCTGTAATTTTAACTATACATTTTCAAATGTGCTGCACAGGCACAATACTTTAAACAAGAACAGAAATACATATGCACAGTGTAGCAAAATTGACTTTAATAACAATAGACAAAGATCTATACAAATGCAAAGTATTCATCTCTATATAATTTATAATCATATATAATCAACACTTTTAAAATGAAAATAAACATTTATAAACAATCATTTTGGGAATTTGGGCATTGTTTTCTCCAAACTGCTTCCTGCTACTTTTGGGTGAAGTATTTTTAGGGTTCATGGCGACCTTTTGGATGGTCTTGTTCCATCAAATCACATTAGCCTAGAAGGAATCCACAGGTTCTATTCTTTTGTGGAAACAAAAGCAGGACCTCTTTTCCAAAGTAACAAATCCTTAGACTCAAATTTTGATACCTTTATGTTGGTTTAGTTTAACAGTCACCACAATCAAATATCTCTCTACAGTTAGCTTATTAACAGTCAAAAATTCAAAGAAAACACAATAATATATATATATATATATATAATCCAGATTCTCTGTATATATTCCACCTTTATATGGCACATTTTTTACTCTCTTTATTACTTTAATCTATGACTATCTGTACTCTTTTATATTAATTTCAAAGCTATTTCTTTCTATAATTGCCTATAGCCATTTTCTTTTTTCTTAAGCCTACATACATTTATTTAAACATACTATGACACATTCAGAGGTTTATTTCTGTCTGAGTGTGTTTTTATTGCTTATCTGTAATCTTTTTGATCACTGTTGTAAACTGTTAAGCAGGCATGGCTAGGACCAGAGCAGCCACTTTAACTGTTGGTTCCAAGCTGCTTGGCTTTCCAACATGGCAGATTTCCATTTACCGCCAGCTTTGGAAGCCATGTTTACCACCCCAACTCTAGAAAGCAATTGGCCCATGCTGCTACCAAGTAACTTGCAGCATGCTGCACACAAATCCCATTCAAGCAAGACCTCCTAAAAGATCCAGAACAATTTATGCCACCAGCATAAACCAGGAAGCCATTTCTTAGAGAAACCATGCAGATTTTGCTGCTAATGCTGAGTCAGGAAGTCGTTTCTTAAAGGAGTCATGCCTCTGCTCACCACCAGCAAACAAAGCCAATCTGAAAAAAAAAAATGTGGCTATCAAGAAACTCCAATTGACTCCAATTTTATGGGTCTAGAAGCCCTTTTTTCAAGATTTCTTATGCTTTATGTGGATGTATGCTTCCAAATATTGGGTGCCGTTTGTAAACAGAGACTGCTTTTTGGTTTCCCAGTCACCCAGAACCGAATAATCACACAAAACTACATTAATTATAACAGAGTTTAGCATACAGAGGAGAATCCCACATGAAGATGATATCTGTCTGTGATGCTGAAGTGTGTTCCTTCAAGGCAGCAGGAAGGTGGATAGATAGATCCTTTTATAGAATCCAGCATGTTAATCTCTGTCCTTTTACTGGGGAAATTGAGATCTTTAATATTGACAGTTATTATTGCACAGTGTTTAGTAATTTCTGTTATTTGTTGTGATGTTGCTGTTTTCATATATCTCCTTTGATTAACTGTCCTGAAATTGCTTATATTCACTATGACTTCTTGAGTGTGTTTGTCCTTCACTTGAGACTGGCATATTCTTCCCAGTGAACTCTATAGAACTGGTTTAGTGGCCACAAATTCCTCTAATCTATTTTTATTATGGAAAGACTTTATTTTTCCTTAAATTTTAATTGATAGTTTTGCTGAATATGATAGTCTGTGTTGACAATTTTGGTCTTTCAGAACTTGGAATACATATTTGCAGGCCCGTCTAGCTTTAAAGTTTCTGTGAAATAATCAGGTATTATTTTGGTGGGCCTGTCTTTATAAGTGACCTAACAAGTTCTTCTTGTAACTTTCAATGCCCTTTCTTTAGACTGTATTTTCATGTTTTAGCATTAACAATTTGTAGGGGTATTTCTTTCCTAGTGTGTCTATTTGGTGTTGTATAGGTCCCTTCTACCTGGATGGACATCCCTTTTTCTAAGTTTAGGAAATTTTTTTCTATCATTTTATTAAAAATAATCACCATGCATTCACTGTGGTAAATTTCATTTATACCCATAATTCAAATATTAGATATTTTCAAGGTATTTCAAAGTTCCCATGTGTTTTGTTTATTTTTAAATTCTATTGTCCTTTACTGAGTGATACAATTCCTTTCATCCCAACACTGTACCTTCCACATGATCCATTCTGTCAGTAATTGTTTCCAGTGGGATTCTTATTTGACTTACTAAGTTTTTCATTATCAGCATCATTACAATTTGGATTTTAACAACTCTTTCTTTTGATTAAATTGTATTTTCACATCTTGAATTGACTTCCACATTTCATTCAGCTCTTTGGTTTCCTTAGACTATCTGCCAGTCCTCTTTGAGTTGTTTGAACACAATTATAATCATTCTTTTGAATTCTTTGTCAGGAAGAGCTTCTCAGTCATTTTCATTAGCGTTCATTACTGTGAGATTGGTAATGGTATTTTTGGGGTGCTATATTTGCTAATTTTCTGTTGATGTGGTAAAACATCATGGCCAAGGCAACTTATAGATGGAAGGGTTTATTTGGCTTATGGTCCCAGAGTGATAAGTTTGTCATGGAGAGGAATTGTGACAGCAAGCAAGCGTGATGGCTGGAACTTAAAGCTGAGAGCTTACATCTTGAACTGCAAGCAGGAAGTAGAGATAGTTAACTCTTTTAAACTCTCAAAGCCTGTCTCAAGTGATGTACTCCCTCCAATGAGGACACGCCTACTACATCTACCCAAATAGCCTATTAACAGGGTAGTAAATACTCAGATATCTGAGCCTCTTGGGGACATTCTCATTTAAACCACCACAGGGGAACATATTCTGTTTTTTCATGTTACTTTTGTCTCTGTAGTAGAATTTGTGCACCTGAAGTAGTTTGTTAGTTGAATTCTTTTTTTCTTCAAACCACTCTTCTTGTTTCAGTGTAGACATATATAATATTCATGAGAGCATTAAGCTATAGAAGGTTGAGGACAGGAGCTCTCAAGAAACTAGGTATGGTATAGAGGGATAGGCTTCCCTGGAAATACTGGGAAACACTGGAGGAACAAATTTATAGTGTTGGGAGTAGTGGTCCTAGTCTGAACTGTGAGGATGGAAGATTCTTAGGGAGACAGGTGGCCTGGAAGCATGTGGAAGCAAGATCCCAGAAGAACACAGAGTCCCATGAGGATAAACCAAGTGAAATCTACCCAGTGACTCAGAGAAATGGATGTTCTTATAAGTTGGAAGAAGGGACTACTTGGCACGATAGGGAAAGAATGTTTCAGAAGAGCTGGTTGGAACTATAGGATGGGAAGGAGCAGAGTCTACTGGTGATATAAGAAAGGGAGTTCCCAGAGTAGCCGTGTAGTCTATGGAGTGGAGGAAAATAGTCCTGCCTGGCTACAAGAAGGGCTAAAAGAAGTTCTGATGGAGGGACAGGGCAGATCTGTAGGAAGAGAGTGAATGGCTCTACCTGGTGGGTACCAGAAAGGGAAATCCCAAAGGTAGCCAGGCAGGTCCATGGGGTTAGAAGTACTAGGGATACCTGGTGTCTCATAGAAGGTAGGTTCCAGAAGAGCTCAGCAGGCCCTGTTTTATTTTGCTTTGTTTTTGAGTCGTGGTCTCATTATGTAGACCAAACTGATCTCTAACTTGCTTCTGCCTACTGAGTACTAATATCACAGGCATGTGATGGCATATGGCCTTATTAGTGTGTGCTTTTAAATAAATGGATAAAAACTTGACTGGGAAGAATGTTTAGGGACAGAGGTTAGCCGAAATGAGTAGGGATTTATGGAGTGGTATATGATGGTCACCTTTATCTCAAGTGGAATGATCTATCATATCCAATCAATCTAATACCCAAGTAAGTAGACAAAAACAAAGAGCTATATATGTTTGTACTGTCTTAAAAGTACCACACAAGGCTGCAATGTATTTTACAAAATCTTGATCTTAATTATATTCACATTTTAAAAAATCTTGATGTGTTTTTAGAGAAATGGTTATCAAAATTTTATTGAAGTCAAATCAAGAAACTAATGAGTCCTCTATCCCTTTCAACATCAGAAATCAAAGTTTAAGACACAGAGAAAATAAGTGTGATATATAGGTATATGAATATAGATATAGGTATATAGATATAAATATATCAAAAAAATGAGGCCAGGAATTAGAGAGGGAGTGAAACAAGGAGAGAGACATGGTAGGAGCTGGAGGAAAGAAAGGGGATATAGGGAAATGATGTAATTTTATTTTAATAATAAAAAGAAATTAAGTATGAATGTATATATGTGATTTAGTTTGTCTTTAAAGAACTTCTGTCCTATAAAGTAGAAACAAAGTAAACAAGACTAATTTCCACATATATATACATTATTTAGTTATCCTAGACTTTGCATATTTCCTAATTGAGCAGCTATAATTTAAGCTAATTTTTTACATTTCAATTTTTCCTCTGGTTTTTGGTTTTGAGTAATATAGTATATAGTTGTTGATAGAAAATATGGTAGGTGTAAACTAAAAACCAGAAATAGCATAAATAATGAAGCCGGTCTAGAAAACCAATCCCAGTGAGTGTTTTTAAAGCCCCCTAACTGAAATAATATGTAAAATACAAAATAAGACAAACTGAATGACTAACATTGTGTTTTTGAAATGTTCAGGTTGAACAACATTTGAAATTGGGATGAAACAGTAAGAAGCTACATTCATGGATAACCAACAAGATAAAGTCATTGCTGCCTCAGCCAATGGAGAAAACAGTCTGATTAATGGGATCAAAGAAAATGGTAAGAGAATTTACTTGCCATATACATTATCTTTCCTGGTAGTCTATTTTTAAATTAATGTAGATTTTTCAGTATATAAAAACTTGAGACAGGTTGAATTCACAATATATCTAAAGTTGATGTAAATCTAAACTTGTCAAATCTTTAACCGAGCTAGAAGAATCTCTGAGGGTTCTCAGATAAGTCACCTTGCTCTCTCAAATCCATCTGCTGAATGAAGTTTCTCAAAATTGCTAGTAAATTACAAGTATGTTCTGGTGTGAAACTTTTGTCGTTTCACTAGGAACCTCTCTAACATAAGTTTTCAAGTATGGCTATGTGTCTCATAGCTGAAACCATGAATGGTACCCTGTACCTTTTCCCCTCTGAAAACTGACTTTTCAATTGATCCATCAGTCCGGTTCTTTCATCATTTCTGAGGGGGCTCTATCTTTTCCTGAAGAAGAATCTGAGCCTAAAAATGATTTTTTTCACTTGTATGAATTTTCAGTATTAAATCAGAGTTATTTTATTACTGTTTAGGTGGTAATTCATAAAGCTAGAGAAAAAGGCTCTGATATCCAAACGTTGGAAACTGACCAAGGAAAAGAGACTTAATGAATCTTATCTAAGATCCTTAACTTTATTCATGCCTTTTATTTCCTTTTTCTCTAGACTCAGAGGACCAGGATATGGCAATGAAGTCATTTGTAGCTCTAGAAGCTACTACACCAGTCCAACCTATACCAGTGGTACAAAAAGAGTCCCCAATGTTTCCTAGGGGTCTCCTACCTCTGCCGTCTAAGAAACCGTGTGTGCAGAGCCCTCCGTCTCCTTTGGGCCTGATTGAAGCACCTGATCATTCTGCTACTAGTGCTTCTGTGAATGCCATCTCCCTCACATCTGGAGTTGCAAAAGCCCTGAACACATGGTCACTGCCCAGTGAGTGTGAGAAAGCGCCATTTGCCATGATGGAGCCTGCAGGCATGTCAGCTCTGAATGGAGACTGCCTCATGCAGCCAAGCCGGACTTGCTTAGGTTGCTTCATGGAAGCAAAAGAAGCAGTAGATCCTGAACCAGGAATCAGTCTGAAAGTTGGTGATCTAAATAGAGAGTATGAAACATGTGCAGTCTCTGATATAGGGATTCAGTGCATTAATGCTGGAGAAAATATGAAATATGGAGAGCAGCTGCTTTCAGACCAGCTGTTAGGCTTCCCCCTGCATAAATCAAGGGCAGGAGATAGACGAGAACCTGAAAAGCCTGACATTGACTTGGAAGATCCAACTCAGAAAAGTTATTATGAGGCACTACTGTTAGATAAGTGCAATACAGAAGAAGCTTTACTGGCAAATTCCAATCAGGATTGGGGTTACTTTGAGACTTTTATTAGTGAGAGTAAGATTGAACTACTTGACCTCTGTTCCAAGAATGAACTATCTGTTAACCTTTTCTCCGAAGAAGATGTGGATAACTATATGTTTGATGATGATGAGTCAACACTGGGCAGTGATGTCTGCTCCCTCAAAATTCGATACGAGTCCTTTCAGGACAATGTTCGAGATAAGACCACCCTTCTGATGCAGGAAGATGCCCAATTCAATTTTTTCCCCAGTGTCTTTACTACATGTCCCAAGACATCTAAGAGTGGAATCCTCAAGCAGAGCAGCGATCTTTCTCAATTCAAGGTCCCTGATGTGAGCATCATCTGGGGAGAGGAAGATAAAAACATGGACAAGAAAAAAGACAAAGAGGGAGTGCATGAAGACAAAAGTATAGAGAAAAAAGATGAAAAAGATAATGGAGAAAAGCCTGAATTAAATAATAAACCATGTAGTGGGCTTGAGGTAGAGCAATTTAAGAACCTAAAGCCGGACCATCTTACTAATTCCCTGGAGACATCAGGAAATTTCAGTGATGATAATTCCTTCATTGAGGTCTCATATGATGCCATGGGGGAGATCAAAGACTGTAGCCGCTATATGTCTCGGGAAACTACTTCTGGAAGCTCTTCCTCCCAGCAGAACTATGGACTGAGAGCCAAGAGAAAAGTCAGATACAGTGAAGATTATCTATATGATGTTGACTCACTAGAAGGGGAAAAAGTAAATGAGAGAAAGGATTGGCCTCCAGGTGGTGCGAAAGAAGAAGATGATGATGAATGGTGTCCCAAAAAGAGAAGGAAAGTAACCCGTAAGGAGCCCCCTGTTATTATCAAATATATCATCATCAATCGTTTTAAAGGTGAGAAGAACATGCTGGTGAAGCTAAGTAAGGTAGACGCCAGTGAGACAACGGTAAATCTGAGTGAGAATCAGCTCAGTAAGTATGCCAAGTTATCACCTTTGAAGGGCTTCTGGCAAAAGAAGAAAAAGCAGAGAAACAGCAACACAGACTCCATCAAAACACCCTTATGCCAGAAGCAAAGCTTTGAACCAGGTAACTTTGAGGTGTCATTCCTGCCACCTGCTCGTAAACGAAAATCTAAGCTTGGCAACAGACACAGGATTCAAAGGATCCAATCCATGGAAACTTCGGCAAGCAGTAAGCAGGTTTCATTCTGCAGTGATCAAAGACCAGCTAGTAATCGCAAAGAAGAAGGCAGCTTCAAAGGTACACCAAAGTCAGCACCTCTTGCTGCTCCAAGCTGTGCCAGTGGGTCACATTTACGTGGCATCATAGTCCCTGACTCAGTCAAAGTCAAAACTCAAGACTCGGAGTTTAAGGGGCCAGAAAGGAAAGTGCTCAACAAAATTAAATTTAAAAGTGAAGCTAGGTTAAAATCCAAAAAAGTCAAAACCGGACAAGAAAACAAACCAGTTCAAATGAGCCCTGTCTTAGAAGACCAATCTTCCAAGGCTAATTTAAAAAATGAAGTCATTCCTGGAACCTCAAACAGTTCCCATCTGTCTGAATTTCATGAGACAAAGGTTAAGAATTCCACTTTCTTACCAACCACCTGCTCTTCTGAAATGCCTTTATCTTCTGCTACTGTTGCCACTAATATACCTGTTATCCCTGGAGGGTATCTGCAAACACTGTTAGATGCTTCTGACTTGTCAAATAATACTAGTATCTCATACTTCACCAACCATTCTCCAGAGCAAAATGAAGCCAGCCTTGTTCAAACGGAAAAATCATTTGTACCTCTCCAGTCTTCTCAGGACTGTGTGCTGTCCTCATCTTCTGAGTCTGAGCTGCAACAATCATCTCATGACTTCAAAATGGAAGCAAGCACCTACGGAAGCCTGTGGTCCAACAAGGCTACATCTGTCCCACAAGAGTTCATGACTGAAGTCTCAAGGGAGATCACCACAAACCAATCTGATGAATTCGAAGCGTCCGAAGTAGTCTCCATGGAGAATAACCTCACAACAATAACATACAGTCCTCTCTGCCTCAACAGTGGCAGCAATGGTTGCAACAAGGTTCTGTATACCTCTCTGCCGGACTCCCATCTCTCATCTGATGACTCTTATCAATTGTGTCACTTTAATAATGGAGAGATCTGCTTTCCTTTCCAGCAGGCTCCAGTCAGTACAGACGATGACAGCCGGCTCTTTAACTTTGATTCGATGACTCCCCTTTCTGTCAGTTCAAGCAATTATTGTCCCTTAAGCTTGAAATCCTGTGAAAAGGATGGTGACGATGAGATCACTGATGACTTCTTGGCCCACTGCAGTCCGAAACTGGTGATCCAGCAGAGCATTGATGAGATAGCACCACTAAAGGAGTCCACTGACCTCCTCGATATCTCCAACTTCACTCCTGACAAATTCCGCCACTCTTCCCTCTCAGAAATGTCTCCACCGGACACACCCAGCCTTTCTCCTCAGAGTACCAGATGTGAGAGTGTCAAAACACTAGGAACAATGAAGGGATTCCAAGAGGGTGTCCCAGGATCGTTGGGCAGCGTGGAGAAAATCAAATGGGACTGTGGTACCCTTTCACAACAAGTTCAAGTGGATGATGCCTTTACAGTAAATAACCATCCGTTTCAATTCCATATGTTCAACGATGAGGACTCTGTTAGCCTGCTCCAAAAAAACCCATGCCTGTCAACCTTTGACGAGTCAGCTGGACAAATTAATGCCAACAACAAAGTGTCAAAAACAAGAAAGAAAGTTTCACCTGGCAAGAGTGGGGCCGTGAGCCAGAGTTCATCACAGAAAAACACCAGGAAAAAGTCCCCCAAAGCCAGCAACAAAGGGGGTGAAAAGCCACCTAGCAAAACCTCCCGCCAGGTTTCTAAATCAACAAAGAAAGGGAAACATGTGGCTGCTGTCAATGGAGAGAAAATGCAGACTGGGAATGGCCGTAGTGGGGGCCAACCCAACAACACATCCTCCAGTGGAAAGACTGAATGTATTCAACATGGTGGTCCTGTTGACCCTGTGAAGATGCCAAGTCAGAAGGGACTTTCGGGAGACTGGGCTTTGGGAAAGGAAAGCAAGCCAGCCTGGAATGACATGAGTACAGTCACTAGTACCAACAACCTTCTGGATGATGACCAACGGGAATTTCAAGAGCCTTCCTATATCTTGTCCAACATTGCCTCTGGTATGGCAGATGTGCAAAGATTCATGATGGCCTCCATAGAGCCCCTTTGGGAACCCATGGAGCAGCAAGGGGAGTCCAACACATTCTACTCCCCTGAATCCAATAGCCTGAAATTAAAAACCCTCAAAATATTAGCTGGTACACCACAAGAATCTAAGAAAAAGGTTAATAATGGATCATCAGGAGCTACTAAGAATCACAGATCAGTCAAAGGTGTGAGCAAAAGCAACGGGAAAGCAGCAGTTGCTGATCCTGGTCGTGCAGACATGCCTGGTTACAATGAGGACTCTCAATCTGCCTTCTTTGATAAAAAGTACAGTAACATGAGCACTTTAGGCAATAATGGACCGACACACAAGAAATTATATCGTCACAAATCCAGCTCCAAGACCCTGCGAGATGAGAAATATAAGGGGAAACGTGTGGAACGAGAACAGGTCCACAAGGATGAGGCTGGGACAGCTTCTTTTGAAAAACTGAGGTAATACTGCACCAAATGACTAAGAAGAGATGTTTCCATGGCTTTCCTACTACCTGCTGAGTCCAGAGTTCTTCATTTTTCCTTCTTGAAAGCAGAAGTTTGCATGAGAGACTCTTTCCTGTTCTCTTTCCTTTTCAAATTAAAAAGAAAAGAAAAACGTGCATGGAAATCCCTGTACCTTTAAGCCACTCAAAATATCGGCCAATTTTGTTGTGGCTTGGCTAGGGATAAGTTCTAACAAAGGCTACATTTTTCTCCTATTCTGCATTAATTTTTGCTTATTAAGAAGATAGAACTAAAATATGCTCTTGAATGATTTTTGGAATGGAAGGGCTTTGCAATAAAGACAGATTCTGAACAACATAATCAAAAAGTCATGTAGACAAAAAGCCAAGATCATTTCAACAAAAGAGCATTACTTGTCAACACACGGCAATTAGGAGTGCTTTCTCTATCGTTCTGCTTCAGACGACACCTAGTATGGTGTCAATATATTTATATGGTATGATCCCTTTGAGGACATACACTAAAACTTACTAAGATGGCATAAATTCTTTGATTTTTTCTGCAGGGATTCCAACTACAATCTCCTAAAAGCAGAAACAGCATTTTGGGTTTTACCTGTGTTTGAAGAAGAGACTCACATTTTCCAGAAAGACATTTAATGTTTGTGTTTTATTTCTTTCAAAATAAGCTTTGTGGTATGTATGTTGACCTGTAAGTGCTTAAAAAAATTTAAATTGTGGGAATAAGTCTTTGAAATCAAACTTTAATCTGATGTTCTGTGTAAAAGACTTTAAAAGTCATACAGTTGCACAAGTAGTTCATGCACTGTTTGCCCACAAGGAAAAAATGGAAAACATTGTGCCAAACTACAAATAAGTAACTGTACTGTATATAGTTTTACTTCTATATCAACATTTGGTTGTGAGTATTTGGGGGGACTTGTCCCTGTTAATTTACTAGAAACATTCCAGTGGTTCTTGCTATTAAGCACCCCCACTTTTGTGGCTAGCACCTGTAGATCAGTGGAAACATATGTTGTGTTATAAAATTACCAAAACAAAGGAAAATGTTTGAATTGTGCCAAATCTTCTTACCTCATCTCCCACATTCACCCCATCATCAGATTAAAGCTCATCGGTGATTATTAAATCTATATGTATATACACACTCACATATGTGTATACAATATGCATGTGTGTTTACATATATACACACATCCATACATACATTCTTTTGACTGTTTTAAACTCTACTATCTTGTGTGGAAACATGAACAATTAAACAAGGCACAATAAAAATTTGTTTGTTCCTAAGTCTAAGGATTAAAATATTGGAAAGGCTTGAAGGTCACAACAGCTAAGTCCATCAGGGACAGAGTATTTGCATTTACAGAACCTTGTACAAGGAAATAAAACAGCTGCTTTGAAAGTTTGTTTTCCAAAGCAAAATCTGTAGCGGAAAGTAATTTAAAGTGCAAAGTTATATTGCTGATACTTTATATCTCAGTTTTATATATTTTATAATAGTCTGGGATAAATTATAAAATAGATATAGAATTGACACTAATAATAAATGAAATACATAGATTGCTTTTATTTAAGTAGTTTCCTAAATGTTTTATTCCAGTTTTGTCAAAAGTGCACTCACAACATGGCTTTAGTGTTCTTTAAATGTTGAGCTTGCAAAGCCAATGTCATTTTTAAAAATGATGTGACATCACAGATTGACAAAATTTTCCTTCCTGTGTTTAAATACATATAGATCAGGTAAGACGAACAATATGTGAAAACAACCAACTGAGGCCATTTATACATAGTATGAGGATGACTACTCTTTGTTATCTTATAATAAACATAAATCTCAAATTTTAATAATTTTTAAAAATCACATTTTTGGTTCACCCCTCCCTCCCACTACCTTTAAAAAGCTTTTCACAGTTCCAACATTCCTCACTACTAGCCTTTTCTTCCCCTTTATTCACCACTTGACTCCTAACATTTGTTCTCTTTTCCTTGCACAGTTAAAGGCCTATGTGCCTGATGACTGGTGCACTGTGGCACAGATGAGATAGTGGATGTGAAAGCGCTTTGTAGATCCTAAGTGCTATACAATATAGGGGATTAATATTATTAATGTTGTTGGTTGTTGTTGTTGTTACTACTCTTACTAATATTGTTACTAACCTATTAACTTGTGAATATAGAGGCTGGGGTGGGAGGGAGGAGGATAAGTGGGTGGGGAAAAGGGGAACTTAACAAAGCAGGGAAGATGTTTCAAAAGAATTTTTTGAATAAAATAAGAGCAACCTACCTAGTCATTGACACATAAATCTATTCACAAACAGAGAAGCAACGTTTTAAAGTAGAGAGAAATGGAAGGGAGCTTATCGTGTATATAAAGATATACATTTCCCAGTCCATGATTCCTTTCACCAGCTTACTCTACTACTTACAGCTAGGTAGTAAAATGAACAAGCCCATGATCTAGATTGTGTGTGTTCATAACATCAGTCTCTTTTTGTCTGTGGGGATGAGTGGGTGAGGAGAAGTCTGTGAGGAGAGTTCAGGCACATTCCTAGACTTTGGCACTGTGTGCAGTGAGCCCTAGAAAATTACTTAGTGTAAAGGCACCACCTGAAACAAGTCTCCTGCCCTACACAGCCATCCAAAAGAGAAAATAATCAAACTAGAACACTTTTTTTCTGTTTCTAGATACTTTGATAGCTAGCTATTTGCGTGAAATGCTATGACTATATCCTAGGAACCGGTCTTTGGTTTTTGTTTTTGTTTGTCCTGTTTTGCAGCTGAATTTTTGCGTGGAATCACCAACTCAGCCTATATTGTGATCCCCCAAACTCCAGACCTCAAAGTCATCTTGCTGGCTTATAGGAATGGAGTGTTTTCTATGTAACCAAAAAGTGGAAATTAAAAAAGAAATAAAGAAAATGTTCTATGAGTATAATGTGTTTTTATAAAAGTAAATATGGGAGCAGTTGTCCCAGATTTTTTTTTAAAGCATCATGATGTTCAACTTTGGAGAATTGGGTTAGGATGGGGTAGGATAGCTTGAAACTGTTAGAAACAATTTCCTTGTCAGAACCTTATCATCAGTCCCTTGGAGTGGATACTCTTTCAGTTGCTCCTATGGAGCCCACTAAGGGCCAAGTTTAGGGCATGGTTCCTATCTTTCTCCAAAGAGAACTGCCATTTTAAAGCACCTTTTTATTGGCCTGCTGTGCATTGTATATTTTTAACATATAAACTAGTGACTCGTAACCAGTCATGTTGTACTGAAACCTAACAAGAAAGTGAATTTGAGAAGGGAGCAATAGGCCAAGGCAGAGATGCTCATTGTCTTCATTATCCTATGCTCTGCATTGTTGAGCACTTAGCATTCTGTTGGTCCTGTCTCTGCTCTCAGAATTCCTTTTCTTTCTGTCATAACATAGTAGGCCAAACTTACTGGAGAGTTCTTATTCAACCAACTGCCTTAGTGGAGTGAGGACCAATGGATGAAAAGAGTGTTTTGCCCTATCGTTGATTTCTTCAAGTCAAAATCCGGGATTTTCCTTGGTCTGAAATTTCTGACTACTCTCTTCTAACCTCTCCTTTCTGCGAAGCTGCTTCCTATTAATGCCTCCTCAACAGAGTCTCCTTTAACCTTTACTTTCCTGAAAATTATATCCTCTGTTATTCTTCTTCCTTAACTTTCATCAGTCTTAGAATTTTTCTTCTTGTATAGTATTAGATTCAATCTCCCAAATTGATAGAATCTAAGAACTTCAGCTAGAGACTTTCTTCTGGAAGTTTAGAGGGCTACTTTCCTAGTCTTAGTCACTCAACACACACACACACACACACACACACACACACACACACACACACACA